CCCTCTCATGCTCTCTGTCTCTCATTCTCTCTCTCGCAAATAAATAAAATCTTAAAAAAATAAAAATAAAAATAAATAAAACATAAGATAAACTTGAAATTATACTGATGAAAGCAGACATGTTTTAATTTTTCTGCATTTTCATGTTATGGGATAGGAGATACATGGAGTCCCAATCACGCCAGACCTCAGAGATGGCGTGGATAGGAGGGTTGAGAGGAGAAAAGGGATAGGAGGGAACACTGGGGAGAAAGTTGGCCAGGGTAACTTGGCTGTTCTGGCTCGGCTGGGAGCTCTTGGTGACCGTGGGACCCTAGGAAGGCTGGGTTCTGGAATGGGAAGTTAGAAGGAGAGGGCTGGAATCCTACAGAGATCCTCTGTGCAGCCTTTTTGTTGTACAACATGGGGAAACTGAGGCTCAAACCTGCCTGTGAGGGCCCTGGATGCTCTCCAGTGTCCCTGGAGGCCTGGGTGGGGACTCGTTCTGTCCGCTCTGCAGTGCTCCCATGACTCCTCCTCTTCCCAGCTGTGGCCACTGCAAGCAGAAGGAGCCATGCTCTGCAGACACAGGCAGCTGTGCGTCCTGCGAGCCAGGCTGGAACGGAACCCAGTGCCACCAGCCCTGCCCAGCTGGCACCTTTGGCGAGAGCTGCAGGCAGCCGTGCCCCCACTGCCGGCTTGGGGAGGCCTGTCAGCCAGACACCGGGCACTGTCAGCACTGTGAGCCTGGGCGGCTGGGGCCCAGGTGAGGGGGCCGGCCTGTTCCGGGTGGGGTGCGCCTTCCTTCAGGATCCTCATTCCAGCTGCTCCCTCTGGGATGGCTGCCCCCCCCAACACGCTCATTCACACAGCCTTGGGGGCCTGCCTCCTGGTGAAGACTGAGGCAAGAGAGATGGGTGCTGATGAGGCCCTGGGCAGGGTTCTCTTCCGGCTCCTTCGCCACTCAGGTATCCTGCTCTCTTCTTCTTCCTCTAGGGATCTGTAGTCTGTCACCTCTTGGGTTTGGCCCCAGGTTCAAGGCCCTGTTTACGCCTGAGCTTCACTGCTGAGGAGTAGACAGTTGGGGCCCTGAGTCCAGAAGCATGGGGGAAGATGGGTAGGACCTCTTGTGGGGGGCTCTGCCCTGCCAGGCCTGCCCTGCCCGCCCATCCCAAGTCTCCCCTCACCTCAGGTGTGAAGAGCCCTGCCCGACCGGGACCTTTGGGGATGGCTGTAGCTCCACCTGCCCCACCTGTGTTCAGGGGACCTGTGATGCTGTGACTGGGGAATGTGTCTGCCATGCTGGCTACTGGGGACCCAGGTGAGAGAACTGGGGCCCTGGCACGGAGGCAGGGGCCTAGGTCAGGCCTCTGTGCAATCTGTTTCCTGAACTTCCCTTCCGGGGCTTCTCTGCCTCCCACATACCCACCCCGCATGTTCGTAACTGCGAAGTTATTCCTCCTGTTGTGAGGCCTGCATCTTCCAGATGAGGGTCAGAGTGATGCTTCATCTAAAAGGCCTGGCTCCCTAACTAGGTGGAGGTTATTTAGGGGTAGGACTCCAACTCCATTGTTGTTTCCCTGACGTCTTTAGGTGGTAGAACATAATCAAGGTCAATGTCTCCAACGTCAGGTTTTCCACCTCTAGGACAGAATGTAGTATCAAATGGAAGAGACCTCATTTTATAGAGCAGAGGACCAAGGCCCAGAGAGTGGGGCAGAAAGCGGGCTTAGACCTCCAGACCCAGAGGACTTTTCTCTGGATGCCGTTGGCCTCTTGCTTATTGCACTTAGTGCCAGATGGGCTAGGGATGAGGATCATGAGAGGTGGCTCTTGTCTGAAGATTATACCCTGGGGGGCTGGGCACCAAGGGGCAGCTTCTGGGTGGCCACTCTGGAAGGTGGGCTTAGGGGCTAGGGCATTCTCCCAAACACTGCCAGGGGTACTTAGAATGTAGGTCAGAGGAGTCTGCTTGGGCATCATCCGGGGAAGTCTATATGGCGGGGACGGGGCGGGGAGCAGTGCCCAGAGATCTGCCTTCCCCTGTGCCCTTCTCTTGTCACCCCATAGCTGCAACACGTCATGCCCACCTGGCTTCCATGGTAGCAACTGCTCGGATCCCTGTGAATGCCCAGAGGGACCCTGCACCCCTATCTCTGGGGCCTGCCAGCTGGGTAAGGTGGAAGGGAGGGGGCAGGGCGCCTGGGGGGCTCGGTCAGTGAAGCAGCTGCCTTCGCTCAGTTCATGGTCCCAGGGTCCTGGGATCGAGCCCCACGTCGGGCTGGGGAGTCTGCTTCTCCCTCTCCCACTTCCCCCCGCTTGTGTTCCCTCTCTCGCTGTCTCTCTGTCAAATAAATAAATAAAATCTTAAAAAAAAAAAAGAAAGAAAGAAAAAAAAAAAAGGAGGGTGCGGGGGCAGTAACCAGGGAAAGACTGGCCCTTTATATGGCTCCAGGGACCTACCACTTGCCAGGCAGACTGGGCTCACTTAGGAGGCATTCCCTAGGCCTGAAATCTGTATGGTTACTTTGGGGTCCCTGAAGATATGACAGCCCCTGCCTCCTGGGAAACCAGGCTAGCATCCGGGAAATGAGCAGGCATCTGTCACACCTGATACACAGGGATGTAATGCACAGGGGATGTGTACCAGGCGTGACAGTTGGGAGCAAGGGCTTGTGGAACAGGCCAGGGACCATCAGGAGGGGACAGGCTAGCAGGGAGGCTGCCTTGGGGAGAGGGCCTCAAGGCTGAGTAGAGCCTGTATCTCTCAGAAAAAGGGGAGGGACCATAGGTGGAAGGTTCTGGGGAAGAGGCAGCTCAGAGCTGGAGATGAGACAGAATGGCCCTGAATATTTGGCCATCCCCTGCTCTCCCCCTCTCCCCCCGCTCTCCCTAGGGCCTCGCAGTCAGGATGCAGCCCTCATCGCAGGCATCCTTGTACCTCTGCTGCTCCTCCTCCTGGGCATCATCTTCTGTGTCTGCTGCTGCCGGGCCGCCCGGTTGGACCCCAAGGACAGGTGAGCTCTGGCCTGTCCCTTCCCCACCCCCAGCTCAGGCCAGGGGGTTGGGAGCAGGCTGGCATCTGGTTTCCTTTCAGGGGTGGGGAAGGGCTGGCCTTGTCACACACTTAAGTGAGAGGTAATGAGGTAGTTGGCAGTGGCCACAGCCTGGACACACCAGGTCAGCTGCCTGCCTTCCTTGGAAGCCTTCCATAGGCGAGTTTCCAAGTTGCAGGACTGGGAGCAGTGAGCGCTGGGCCCCAGGCTGGCGAAACTCAAACCTGTGGCGTGTGGCCGAGGGTTTATTAACAGGGACCAGAGCAGGAAGGCGGGGAAGGCAGAAGCAGCAGGGCAGTGCTGGGCCTGGAGGGGAAGAGACTAGGCCTCAACACCTCCCCATTTCCTGAAAGGAGAGTGAGCGGCGCTCTATCAGAGATGGTGGCTTTCTGAGAGAAAGAGATAATAGAAAGGATTAGGGTGGCTTACGGGGGTGGGGGGTGCCCACTGGAGGGGAATGTTGTTTGCACAGAACTTTGTTCCTTTACAAAATCTCTTCACAATTCTTGGTTCCTTGGAGACTCACAGCAGCAAGGAGGTTCGGAGCAGGGAATCTGGGGGCAGGAGGATTAGCATTCTCAATTCTCAGAGGAGGACACGGAGGCCTAAGGTGACCCAGCCTGTCAGTGGCATGCACAAACCCCATGCTCTGTTTTTCTGGATTCTCTGTCTGGTGCTCTCTTACTGGTTCATGCGCTAATCCCTGAGCATCCCCCTCTGTGCTGTGGGGTATTCCCAGATGACCCAGTAGCCCCCTGCTGGGGCACAGAGCCTGGGGGTGGGGAAGAAGACCTTCACACGAGGACAGAAGTGGACAAAGGCTGTCACAGGAATGGTAACAGTGAAGCCGTGGCTTCCAGCTTGGGGGTGGGGTCAAGGACAAGGCTTCCTGGAGGGGTGGTGCTTCCAGAAATGTAGCTGAGCTGGGACTCAGCCAGGGTGATAATAACACAAAGCTGCATTTTGGGGAAACCCCACCAGGTGCCCGGCACTAGGCTGGGTCCTGGAAAATGGTCTGATAGATAGGCGTTGTCCCCACTTGACAGATGAGGAAACTGAGGCCCAGAGAGGTCGCATGTACTGACCTCCCTTCTGTACCCCCAGGCCAGCAAGTGATGGAGCTGCTGTGTCCAGGATGAAGCTGCAGGTCTGGGGGGCACTGAGCAGCCTGGGCTCGGTGCTACCCTGTGGTTCCTTCAGCAGCCACAAGCTTCCCTGGGTGACAGGTCAGTGTGGGTGCTGAAGGTCAGGGGCTGGGATGGGACAAGGTCTTCCGCGGAGCTCCACGCCTGACCCGGAGCCTTCTGCAGTCTCACACCACGACCCGGAGATCCCCTTCAACCACAGCTTCATCGAGCCGCCCTCTGCGGGCTGGGCCTCAGACGACTCCTTCTCTTCTGATCCCGAGTCTGGAGAGGACGAGAGCCCGGCCTACTGCGTGCCACCCCAAGAAGGTAGCCCCCCAACAGCCCGCTCGGCTCCGAGCAGCCCTGCCCACTACCACTTCTTTATTCCTGCAGCAAACATGTATCAAGTGCCCATTCGAGTGCAGGTCAATTTCCTGGCTGTGGGACATAGTAAAGAACAAGACAGAACATTCCTGTCCTCACCAAGCTCGTCGTCTGGCGGGCGGTAATCAGGCACGTGTGGGACAGAGTGATCTGTGCTTTGATGGGGGACATGCAAGTAGGGGCTCACAGTCCGGCCGTGTCAGGGGTGATTAGGGTCAGGGAAGATGTCTCAGTGTTGGTGATGTTGGAGTTGAGTCTAGGAGAACCAGGAGGAGTTAACCAAGTGACCGCTAAAGAGGGGTGGGAAAGGTGTTTCGGGGAGAAGGAACAGCACACACAAAAGCCCGCAGGTGAGAGGGACACGACCGTGTGGCACTGACAGAGTTTCAGCTTGCTTAGGGTGTGGCATTCGTTCAAGGGAGAAAGGGTGGTGAGGAAAGTGGGTAGAAGGAGTCATGTCTCCCTGAACAGGCCCTTCCCCTGCCTCTGTACCCTCACCCTCTTCGCCCCATTGATGAGGCTTCCCAGCAGATGCTAAACTGAATAAACAAGGACGGATTGGGATGGCCAGCCCAGCTTTGGCCAAGCTCTTCTGTCTCCTCTGCCAGGGATGGTCACTGTGGCCCACGGAGAGTTTCCAGAGGCCAGCCTGGCTGGAGGTCCCATCCCTCCTCCCGAGGACGCCTCCACACCGTTCCCCATCCCGCGCACTTCCAGTCTCGCACGGGCCAAGCGGCCATCAGTCTCCTTTGCCGAAGGCACCAAGTTTGCGCCACAGAGTCGCCGAAGCTCAGGGGAGATCTCCAGTCCTCTCCGAAAGCCCAAGAGGCTCTCCCGGGGGGCCCAGCTGGGTCCTGAAAGCCAGGAGGCTGAGGAGTCCATGGGCTCAGAGAAAGCAGAAATGGATGAGACCCTTCCTGGTGCTGCCAGCCCCAGGGATTCAGCCACTGGCCGCCGCCGGCTCCCCCTTGGTGGCCGGACAGTGGCTGAGCGTGTAGAAGCCATTGAGGGCAGTGTCCTGGAGGGCTCAGGCTCTGTGACCACGATCTACATGCTGGCAGGGACACCCCAGTTATCTGAGGGCCCTGTCCGGTCTGTTCTCCGCCGTTTTGGTAGCTTCCAGAAAGGCCAGGCAGAGCCCAAGGTCAAGAGTGCCATCCCTAAGCCTCCACGCCGGGCCCTTAGTCGAAATAAGGGCAGCCCTGGGCTGGCCTCTGGCTCTGCCAGTCAGAGCCCCAGCTTAGCCCCGAATGATGAGCTCACTAGGCCCTTGGAGTCTGCAGGAACTGGGCCAGAGGAAGTGGCCAGGGGGCTAGGGGATGGCACCAAGAGCTCAGGGAGGGCCCAGGAGCTGGCCCCTGAGGGTGGCCCCCAAGAACAGGACCCCCAGAAGCTGGCTGATGGGGAAGGGCAAGAGGAGCCCCAGTATGAGAATGTTGCACCCATCTCTGGGCCACCAGCACCCTGAGAACCTTGAATTTGGAGAGTTGGAAGACTGTGGATGGGGGGTAGGCGTCTGAACTGCCCCTGGATCAGATTGTGTTTTGCTGGAAAAAGATCTCAGGGCCAGGAAAGACAGACCAGAGCCTCTGCCCTTTCATGGGGAAACGTCAGAGTTGGAGGCCAGTTGGCTCTGGGCCCTGGCAGTGCTCTGGGAGTGGTCTGGAAGGCCTGGGCAGAGACCCCATAGGGTGGGGTCAGGAAGGGGAAAGAGATGACTGCAGGGACTTTTTCTCTGTTGTCCTGGACTCTATTTGCCCCCAAAGGCTATTCTTTTCTACATTTGCAAAACATTTTTCTGAAATGGGAAACAACCTAAATGTTTGATGATGAAAGACTGGTTAAAGAAAGATTGCTGGGGCGCCTGGGTGGCTCAGTCGTTAAGCGTCTGCCTTCGGCTCAGGTCATGTCCCAAGGTCCTGGGATCGAGCCTCGCATCGGACTCCCTGCTCAGCAGGAAGCCTGCTTCTCCCTCTCCCACTCCCCCTGCTTGTGTTCCCTCTCTTGCTGTGTCTCTCTCTGGCAAATAAATAAATAAAATCTTAAAAAAAAAAAAAAGAAAGATTGCTTATGATAGGTTCCTAAACAACCACTAAAAATCATGTTGTTTGGGCGCCTGGGTGGCTCAGTTGGTTAAGCGACTGCCTTCGGCTCAGGTCATGATCCTGGAGTCCCGGGATCGAGTTCCGCATCAGGCTCCCTGCTCGGCAGGGAGTCTGCTTCTCCCTCTCCCACTCCCCGTTTGTGTTCCCTCTCTCGCTGTGTCTTTCTCTGTCAAATAAATAAATAAAATCTTTTAAAAAATAAATAAATAAATAAATAAAATAAAAAATAAAAATATGTTGTTTAAGAATATTTAATATGGGAAATATGGGAGACTGTTTATGCTATACTGTTAAGTGTAAAAAGTAAGGTTTCTTTTTATAAATTTCATTTCTTTCTGCTTCAGGCTACATGTTTAGAATCCTTCTACTTTGTGTGTATTTTGTGATTGTTTTACAAACTTTTTTTTTTGTAAAGGATGTATGTGCATAAAAAAGATTTGAGGGAAAGGCATCAAATGGCATTTTTCCTGCCCTGGGAGATGAGACTGTGGCTGATATTTATTTTCTTCGTAAACTTTTGTATTATTTGTAAATTTTCTTTAGTAAACATTCTTTTTACTTTTCTCACTAGATTGAATTTTTTAAAAAAATTATAAAAAACAATGTTCTTTGTTTAAAATAAAAAAGTACTAACATTACAGACATGTATAAAGTAAAAAAGAGATTTCCCTTTTCCTCAGAGGAGCCTGAGGGACAGGGTAGGGACCTGACTTACTTGTCACTGAATGTCTTTTGGTCTTGTTTGAGTTCTTTTCTCACATATTTGAATTACCTAGTCAGGACAGAAACAGTGGCTTCTCCTTCTATCCCAGTGCTCAGAGAATCTCGCAGTTTAGATCCTTCCTTTCAGAGGTTTTTCTGGGTACATGAAAACAGAAGATCATATCGTTATCCAATTTGCTTTTTTACTTAACAATATATCCTGGTTATATTTTGATGTCAGTATACATTAAGCTACCTCTTTTTATAAAAAATGGCTGCATGGAATTCCATCATGTGGGATAGCACAGGTTATTTAAATCATCCCCTACCTGTGGAGATTTGGGTCGTTTCTAATCATTTTGATACAATAAATGATGCAGTGTACTACTTTGTCCATATTTCTTTTTGCACTGTGCAAGTTTTTCTGTAGAAGAGATTCCTAGAAGTGGAATTGCTGGGTATAGGATAAGACATTAAATATTTGGATACTTATTTCAGATCACCCTCCAAAAAAGTTACATGGTTTTGTATTCTTACAAATGATGGCAAGATCTATTTCCCCACACCTAGTCTGATAGGTTGAAATGGTATCTCATTATTTTAGCACAATAAAAATAATAAAGTGATAACATGCTAAAGCTTCTTAAAAAGTTAAAATCTTGGGTGCCTGGGTGGCTCAGTTGGTTAAGCGACTGCCTTCAGCTCAGGTCATGATCCTGGAGTCCCGGGATCGAGTCCCGCATCGGGCTCCCTGCTCGGCAGGGAGTCTGCTTCTCCCTCTGACCCTCCTCCCTCTCATGCTCTCTGTCTCTCATTCTCTCTCTCTCAAATAAATAAATAAAATCTTTAAAAAAAAAAAAAGTTAAAATCTTTGTACAGATAAAAGGGTTTTTTTTTTGCTTTTGTTTTTTAACCATCAAAAATTATATCATTAAAATGTGAATTTCTATGATTATTCTAAGTTTGAGCTTCTTTTTGTATCTTTAATAATTATTTGTGTTTTTTTCCTATGAGTTATCTGATTATATTCTTTCCCCAATTTTCAACTGAGGTGTTCATCTTTTCATCATTGATTTATAAGTGCCTATGTATATCAAGGATATTAATTCTTTGCCCCATTTGTGATTGGTCATTTAATGCTGTTTGTAGTTTCTTTCTTCTTTCTGTATAGAAATTAAAATTTTTAAATTTAGACAGTCTTTTTTTTTTTTTGGTGGGCAGCAAGGCAAGGTTTATTGAGCGACAGCAAAGTGTAGGACAAAGCTCCTGAGGAGGGAGGGGACCGGAGAGGGTTGCCACCCGAGTTTTTAAGTCTAGGGGTTTTTTTGGGCTTGTTGGCGGGCTGTTTTGATCTGATTGACCGTCCCGGTGCCTGTCATCCAGTCAGGTTTTTGTCACAAGGGAAAGGGAGGAGGGCTCCTTCCAGAGTGGTGTAAAATCCTTTTAAGGATGGTTTCCCCTTAGGGTGGGGCCCCTTTAGACAGTCTTTTTCTGTTTGACTTCTGAGGTTTTTTTTTTTTTTTAAGGTTATTTATTTGAGAGAGAGAGAGAGAGAGAATGAGAGAGCACCAGCAGGGGGAGCAGCAGAAGGAGAGGGAACCCTGGACTCCCCACTGAGCTGAGCAGGGAGCCCGAAGCAGGGCTCAATCCCAGGACCCTGGCAACATGACTTGAGCCAAAGGCAGATGCTTAACCGATTGAGCCACCCAGCCACCCCTTGACTTCTGAGTTTCACGTCATGCTTAGTGGAAAGGCCTTCTCTACCCTAAAATTAGTGAAATAATCATCTGCATTTTCTTCTGGTACTTTAGTGGTTTTATTTCTTTATGATTTGCCAGCAGTGCTGGTGTTGGGGCTTTAACACCCTTGACAAAAAGACTGAAAAAAGAAACCCAGAATTTCATTCAAATAGCCATGGATTCAAATCTCAGTTCTGATAATACTTGTGACTTTGAAATGGTATTTAAAACCTCCGTTTTTTCATCTGGGGACTTTGGAATGGGGATCCTGGCCATCTCCCAGAGTTATTGTAGGGATTAAATGACATAAACTACATAAAGCACCTAGGAAATTTTTAGTTCTCCATAAAGGGTAATTACTATTCTCATCACCATCGTTCTCCCAGCTTTGAATCCTTTGTCCCAAGAAGCTGATACTTCCACCCCTTTTCATTTGTTCATGTTTTCACTCAACAAGCCCAATATTGTGCATCTGTTCTGTGCTTCTGTGTTAAGGGCTGGTAGACAAAGTTGAGTAAGACATAGTTCTTGCCCCCAAATATTTGTTCATAGTCAGTGGGAAAAGGGAGGGACAAATAGAGGAACAGATAATTATAAAACAGTGCAATCAGTGGACTAAGATAGTAAAGAATATTTTGGGGAGTGGTTAGGGAAGGCTTCCTGAAGGAGGTGCTGTCCAAGAAGGGTCTATGTTTGAAGGCCAGAGGTGAGAGTAAGGCACCTGCAGGCACCACAAGCAATTCTATGTGATTGGAGCATCTAACTTCTGGCCAGTCAACCAGCCTCTAGGTGGAGGAAAAGACTGGTAGGGACCGTGTGGGTTAGGCAGGAGAACTTGAACTTTATCCTACAGGACAAATGGTAGAGAATAATTGAGCAGAGGTCAGATTTACTAAGGTCAGATTTACCTTTCCGACAGCTCACTGGGATGGGGTTGGGTGAAGAAATGTATCTGAAGGGCTGAGATTGGAGGCTGGATGAACAGCAGTTGCAGTCCTAGGGACACAGATGGGCAAATTAGATAAACATTTTAGGAGATATGGCTGTATTGGTGGGATGGGGGTGGGGTGAAGGAGAGGGAGAATGATGGAGAATTTAAAACAAATTTCAAATATTTGTTGAAAAGATGGTTCACGGTATCAAACTTCGGTAGGTAGTGGTGCTATTATCTGAGAAAGAATGAGAGGGACAGTTTTGGGGGTAGAAAGTGAATTATGTTATTTTTTTAAAAGATTATTTATTTATTTGAGAGAGAGCACGAGAGCATGTGGGAGGAGGGGCAGAGAGAGAAAATCTCAAGTTGACTCCCCACTGAGCAGGGAGCCAGAGGTGGGGTTCGAACCTATGACCCATGAGATCACAACCAGAGCCGAAACCAAGAGTTGGAGGCTTAACCAACTGAGCCACCCAGGTTCTCCGAAAGTGAATTATTTTAGAGGTGTGTTTGAAACAGTTCAGAGATGTGTATGGAACAGCTGCCTGGAAACGTTCCTCAGGCAGGTGGCCGTAAGGAGGGAGGGAAGGACTGAAGTTTATCAAGTGGCAAGTCCCAGTGAGTGCGTGAGATTCTGCGGGGTGGGTAACCGGATAGGTAACCAGCCAGGATCCCCCAAGCCCACAGAGCCTGGCGTGGTGTAAGCAAGGTTGCCAGCGGTGGGTTCACGGCGGCAGGGGGCGCACTTGGATGCGGGGACGTGAAACAGGAGGCTGCTGAGGCTCCCAGGGTCCTGGAATAAGTTAGCTCCCAGAGCGTGCCAGGGAGACCTAGCTGAATCTGGGGTAGACCGAGGGTCTTCTGAGATCCGGCTAGCGGCTCTGATCGGGGACACGCATCTGGGCTGCCGAACCTCCCCAGTGCCCGGGCTCCATCCCCCTGCCCTAGCTCTCTGGGGGCAGGAGCATCTCTTTGATCAGATTGGAAGTCCGGAGCCCTCCCGACTCCACACGCTCTCCCAGAGGCGCTGCCCGCCGCGTCACCAAGTAGAGAGGGCCCTTGAAGTTGACGTCCAGGAATGGGACGTAAGAGGGTGGAAGTGGTGCAAGTCAGTGGAGATGGAATGGTCAACTTTGCGTAGAGATCCCCAAGGGGACCAAGGACAGCAGGAAGGGGAGGCAGTCTGGATGGGAGCAGACCGTCCTAGGGTACAGACAAGTCCGAAACTTCCACCTAGGGATCCCCAAAGGCCATCTTCCAGGGACCGGGCAAATGGCACCCAGGAGAGGGGTCCGTGAATCAGGAGAGCAGGGAAGAGGCACACCACGCCTGGACAGGGGTCCGGGGATCCGGGATGTGCAGACAGCGCCTGGATGGAGGACACTGGGGGCAGGTGAGCGAGGAATCAGAACACAAAGCCCGAGGCAGCCGGGGATGGCAGCGTTGCGTGGGAGAAGCAACCGAGGCGGCGGGAGCGGAACGACCCACACGCAGCCAGAGCATCGGGACGTGGTGCCCAGATCAGAGGGGAAGATGGGGACTACTTAAGCGGGCCGGAGGAGAATGGAGCGCAAGAGCCCAGCTGGGTGTCAGAAGGAGACAGGCACGCAGTCCGGAGGGTACCGGAACATCGACCGGAGGAACTTGACCCAGGTGGGGCTTCTGAGTAAGGCTCTGGAGAGACGTTGGGGCAATGCCCCCGGGGATTCCCAGCCCGGCTGTGACTCCAGCTGAAGGCGGCAGAGGAAAGGCACGACCCGCCGCTGCCCCTGCCCCCCCACCCCCCTCGCCCCAGCTCTCTTGTTTGTCTCCAAGTCCGGCCGGAACCGGCTTCTGCTCGCCGCCGGGCGGGCGGGCGGCTGCTGATTGGTCAATGCCTGTTTCCAGCCCTCACTCAGCCAATCAGCGTGCGTCAGTGTTTTCATCTCGGGTTGGAATAAAAGCGCTGGAATAAAAGGAGGCAGAAAAGGCGCCGGCCGGGCCCGATACACGCTGGTAGGAGCCGGGTGAGCTGGATCTTGGGGACCTGGGTCCTGGGCAAAGGTGCTAGGGGGACAGAAGGCGCACGAATAGGGGCATAGAGAGAAGACGTGTGACCGATGAGCCGCCAGGAAAGAGATGACGAACAGAGGAGACTGCTAGGAGATGGAGGGACGGGGGTCCGCTTCCATGGGAACAGACTCAATGCCGAGGAAACAGCTCGGGAGGGGGGTCGCGCAGGTGGCTCGCGCCGCCGGTTTGAACCGGCTTCGCCTCTCCCATGCGGGGTTCGCGTGGCCGCAGCGCCTAGCGACCTAGACGGCGGCCAATGGCGCCGCAGTTTCTAGCCGTCAGGCCAATGAGCGGGCCGGGGGCGGGCCGTTCTGGACGCCGTGCGCTGATCTTGTGGTTGAAGGAACCAGCTCTGAGGAAGGGTTTGGAGTGCGGGCGGGAGGGCGCCTGTCAGGGTCCCAGGGAGTGGCAGCCCCCAGGTATGGCCCTGCCCAGGTATCCGGACCTAAGGTGCCTCTCCTGCCAGTCTCCGAGCTATGTCAAAGCTGCGGAGAGCCAGGTTTAATTCCACGTCCCTGAGCCTGCCTTAGTCCCTCCTGTCTCCATGCCTCGGGTTACCTCGGAACCAGCCGAGGGAGAGGTCTCCCTGCCGGGCCGGGGCCGCTGTCCCGTAGCTGAGGGCAGACGCGCGAGCCCGCCGCGGACAGGCGGGCCCAGGACCCGGGCCGGGCTAGGGCTTCCTTCGCCGCGCGCACCTACCGCCTGGGCCGCGGAGGGGTGACAAGCGCCGCGCGCTGCGGCAGCGGCCCGGGTTGGCCGCACGGGCTGGGCAGGGCCGGGCGCTGACGCCGAGGTCTGTGTGCAGGTGGCTGCCGAGCCCGGAGCCGAAGCCGGAGCCGGGCCTCCGCGCCGCGCCATGGCGCCCACCCTGGCCACTGCCCATCGGCGCCGCTGGTGGATGGCCTGCACAGCCGTGTTGGAAAACCTCCTCTTCTCGGCAGTCCTCCTGGGCTGGGGCTCGCTGCTCATCATGCTCAAGTCGGAGGGCTTTTACTCGTACCTGTGTACTGAGCCAGGTGAGACGGGCGGCTCGGGCTCGGGCTCGGGGTGGTTCCCGGAGTGGGAGCTTTGGGAGAGGGCGAGACAGCCCTGAAAACCCGGCCAGCGATACCCCCTCGCTGCGCAGCACCTCCCCTTGAGCAGAAGCCCCATGTGATCCTCAGCCAGCTCTGCCGGGTACGTGTCATTGCCTCTGTTTTGTGGATGAAGAAACTGAGGCGCAGACCGATCTTCCGGCTTGCCCAAGGCCACACAGCTGACTGCGGTAGAGCCAGAATCCCCCAAGTCCAGGGTGTTCTTCCCGCCGCCTAAGGAACATTGCAGGACTCCTCTCCTTCCAGTGCGTAGCACATCACTTGTCTTACACTAAATATGTGGCTCCCTGACTGTGAGAAAGAGGAACTCCTGACTCAGTGGCTGGGGTGCAGAAAGAGAGAGGAAGTGGCTTGGCCTCCACCCCACTGAAGATTCATCTGGAATCTAGATGTGTTTTAGTCAGGCCATTATGGAGTCTCTTAAGGGCATGTCAGCTACAATTTCTTGTCTATTTTTGCTGCTTTATGATTTTCCAAAGGACATTTCCTCCCACAGGCTGTGAGAACATCCCAGTGGCCTTCTATCTGCACGCCATCGTGGAGGGAGGCAAGGCGGGTATTTAGGGAAATAACACTGGTTCTGTCCTCTGTCTTTGCCACACCACTGGTGTTGCTGAATACAGGCTGAGGATGCTTGTTTATAAGGAATCTAATCCCCACTCCTACCTTCACACCCCCCTGACCCCGTCCGAGGATCCTAATTGCTGTAGATCAGTAGATTCAGCCAAACAGTGGGACCCAAGTGGCTCCCCACCTCTACCCTCCTACCCCCTTCCTAGGTAACCTTGATAAGAAATGTTTCCTTCTGCCCTCTGCTGTCCCCAGCAGTGGCTACCTAATAGTTGAACTCTGTAATGTCTCTTCCCAGTGCCTTTGTCAGCCAGCCCCTGCGTGAGTCCCCTTAGAGGGAGATAGCCCAAGTTTGACCCTCTGAATCACACCACTGGCATGCGTTTTCCTCTTAGCATTCTAAACTGGGGGGAAGAGAAAGCATTGGACCAGCTCATGCTGCCTGTAACCCCATGTAGAGTCCTTGTTTCCCGTTCCTGATAGTCCCAGGAGATTTCTGAGTGTTTCAGTCTCTAGGGAAGCTTTGCTGGACAGGTTAAGGGCAGGAGAAACGGAGGGGATGCAGAGGTCACCTGGGAGAGGGCAGAGAGTATATCATTTATAACCTTTAGCCTTTAGCTACTCAGAAATATTTCCTAATAGCCTAAGGGTTCTTGGCAGACCTTTCCGCACATCAGCAAGAAATCTTGGGAGATGGGAGAGTCACTCAGACCTTGTTCCTAGAACAAGCTTTCTGCTTTGCCCAGGAGATGTTAGCAGATTAATGACTCTCTGGAAGGAGCAGTTCGGAGTGTTTGGCTCCTCCTCTCCCTCCCTCTCTCCTCCGTTTTAGATCATGACCCTTCCTGCCTCCCTCTTTGATGGATTCATTCAGGCTGCACCGAGGGTTTTAAAAACAGAGAAACAGCATCATCCCCAGATGAAACTTTCAGCGTCTCGTCCAGACTGAGGGACTGTTGTGGTTGAGTTGGGGGGTGGGGAGGGACCTACTGTACAAGGTCAGATTCTAGGTTTTTTTCCTGAGATTGTCCACTGATTTAATTTATTTTATGGTCTTGGCAGCACTGGGGCTGGTCACTTCATTCCTGCCTCAGCCTTGGCTTCTTCCGCCGTCTAAAGGGGGAGGAGTTGCTGAGATTGTGGCGACACAGTGCTGAGCTGGTGCTGAAGCCCGTGAGAAGCTTGACCCGTCCCTCCTATAAACCAAAGTGAAGGTGAAGGGTCAGGGTGGAGGTTGAACATCAACTTCTTATCCCGTGCCTTTGCCCCTGCCTTTGATTTTGTTTTTTCTGACTACCTGGCAAACCTGCTGACCCAGCATCCTGGATGGACAGCCCTGCTGATTCCACATAGCTTATCTCTCTGGCCTCCCTGCTCCTTGCTTCTTGGAGTCCAAGCAGCCTGTTGCCTTTTGGAGCCAGGAGTCTCCTCCATGTCTTGCCTCACTGGGAGTGCTTGGAGGATTTAGGGTCAAGGTTTCTGCTCAGGTCTAATATTTTCAAGCTTGGTGGATGGCTGACTGGCAGAGAAGCAGTTGGGCCGTTTATGGAATTTATCGTATTAGACTTGTGAAAAGCTGACTGGTTTGCAGCTGCTTGAGATGCAAATTCGTCAGCTTTTTGTTGCTTATAGGACCTTTGCTTTGAGTTGTTCTCTCAAGAAAATTTGCCTAAGCCTGTTGAAACGTTCTCAGAACTCATTCTTGGGACTCCAGCCAGAATCTGGCCCTGGACACGGTGTTGGGTTCCAGTGTGGTGAGGTGGGAGAAGGAAAGAACCTGTTTCTCTGCTGCCTCTCAGCTCTTTCTGCCTGGCCCACCACATGAGATTGATAAGGACCCGTGCCCCGCATTTGGGCTCTGCCTCCCCAGCCCCCCCTGGTGTGGATAGGAGGCTGACTGGCTTCCCAGCCTAGGAAGTACGGGGCTTTCCCAGAACTGTGTCCTTTTGGCCTCCGGATGACCGCCATACCTACCCACTCTTGACCTCTTTCTTCATTTTCTCTGTCATCTGATGGCCTGCTTGGACAGGGTCGGGTCAGGGGGCTGTTAATCTCCTCTTCATCTAACCTACATGGCTAGTAAGCATTTATTGAGGTATTGTGCTCGGGGTGCAGTCCTGGCCCTCAGGGAGTCTGTAGTCCACCAGCATCAAACACACAAACCATATACTTCCCAAGTGGTGGTCCAGACTCCAGCGAGAGCAGTGGGGATCTGGTTCAACTTGAGTGGGAGGGCCTCTCTGATGTTTAGGCAGAAGCGTGGAGGGCAAGAGAGGTGAGTCGGGAGAGGAGGGGGCAAGAAGAGGTGGGAGGGGGCCAGGGCCCACAGGGCCTAGGAGGCCACTTGGGGAAGTTGGATTTTATTCTCAAGGCAGGAAGAAGTGACAGAGGCAGAGGAGGGTGACGATCAGATTCACCTATTAGACTCTTAGGAATTGTTGAGGTCTTGCCACACTGGGCATGGGGTGCGGGTGGGAGTCGTGGCCTCTGCCTGAGGAAGTCACAATCCGGCTCATCCGTGGACACCAAGGCTGACCTGAGTGCACTGCAGTCTCTCTGCGTGTGCTGGCAGGCGAGCCTTACCCCTCACGAAACACTGCAGGAAGCTGGTCCCCTGGGCCCCGAGGGGGCAGAGGGCTGCAGTCAGGCAGGGAAGCAGAGCCAGGCCTGGTCCCCCGCACATGGGCCGAGGCTGCAGATGTGGACAGGAGACATTCCCTGCTGCTTGGAGGCCCTCTTTTTTTTAAGATTTTGTTTATTTATTCGACAGAGAGACACAGTGAGAGAGGGAATACAAGCAGGGGGAGTGGGAGAGGGAGAAGCAGACTTCCCGCGGAGCAGGGAGCCCGATGTGGGGCTCGATCCCAGGACTCTGGGATCATGACCTGAGCTGAAGGCAGTCGCTTAACTGACTGAGCCACGCAGGCGCCCTGGAGGCCCTCTTTTAATGGTCTCCTCCTCATGCAAAGGCTGCTGGCTTTTGAGAGCTTTTGAAAACCCACCCTTTTACTTGTATTGCTGTGAATGTGACTGTTTCCACTAGCCCTACTCCCACCTCCCACCCCCGGGTTTATTTTGGATTTAAAAAAACATTCTGTAGCAACGGGGTAAGAAGGTCTGAAGGCTGGTGCCCACAGCCTCGCAACATGTCAGAGAAAGGAGCTGGCGCCCTCAGCCTTTCCTACCAACCCTGCCTTTCTTCTTCCCATTTCATGACCCACTTTCCCTCTCCCACATCCGCTGGCCCCACCTGCCTTCGTGGTGTTGCATTAAGGTTCTGTCCAGCTTGGGTTGACTTTCAGGGAGGATCTTGGGGGCAGTCCCATTCACACTGGGGGTCATTAAGGGCCACCTGGTGCTGTCCCTGACATGGTGACAGCCTTGTGTGTCTCCGTTCCTTCCGCATATTCTCTCTGAAAGCCTCTAACCCAGGTAGTCCAGCATCAGCACAGCCTAACGGTTAAAAGCAGGAACTTTGAAGCCCAGCAGCCTGGATTCAAGTCCGGCTTCTCCATGATGTGCTATCTATGAGACATCGGGCAAGCGACGTGGCCGTTCCAAAGCTCTTGGTGTGCTGGTGTGGAGTATGGGTGGGGGTGAGAGAGCACTAAGTGACACGGAACGAATACCACTGAATAAGTGGCCGGCACACAGAGGCAGTCTGTGGCCACAGCTCAGGGCTAGGCTCCGGCCTACCCAGGATGGCCCGCTGACTGTCTGTGTCCTGCCTTTTGTTTGCTCTGCTTCTGAGGCTGACCTCTCACCTACATCCCCCTGTTGGACCGAGATACTGCTTCCTGTTGCCGGATAGACTAAGGATTTGGGAACGAGACAGGAGATCCTGGGGCAGGGACCATTGGCAGGGAGGTCCAGGGGCCTGCATCCTGGGTGGGTGGGTGGGGGGCTCAGTAAGCAGTCAGAGAAGGGGGCTGCTCAGGAGTTTGGAGGAGCCTCCAGCCCAGTGCCCCTTTCTCCTTTAAGCATATGCAGCCAGTTGTTCAGCTCCCCATTCCCTTTGTTTCTCTGGGGTGGGAGGAAACCCCTCTTTGACCCAGGGATGCCAGGGGAGCCGGAGTGGGGTCATAGCACCCCCTTTTGTCCCCTACTTTCACTGTACAGATTGTGTATGAGTCTTCTGCGAGGAGGCCTGAACAGTGCAGGCATTGTTCTCTCTTCCCGGCCCCTCAGCAGCCTCACAGCAATTCGGCACACTCTGGCCACACCAATTCCTTGCCTGTCCTCTTGGTTCACCTTCCCAGCCGGGCTGGGCCAGGCCACTCTGGCCACCCACGGAGAGGCATCTGTTTGATAAACAGGTGCAGGTGAGGTGCAGAACAGGCTGGGCTGGGGCAGGCCTGCGCTCTAGGCTGGGAGCAGAGGGGCACCCTGGGGCTTGACACTTCTTTGGTGCTTATCTGTTTGTGTCTCTCCTGGCCCACAGTGGCCCAGGTGGGAGCAGAGAGGGAGGAACAGCCTGGGTGTGGCTGTGTTTGGGCATCTGCCGGATCTGTGATTATTCATGTGGGCTGTTTACTGCCAACAAAGCTGGGCTCATCAAAGATTTAGTCTCCTCTAGGAGCAAGGGACTCTCTTGCATTGCTTCATGGGCAGACAAGAGAGGCCACTGAGACTCCCTACCCCAGGCTTATCTGTTGCTGGACATCACTGCCTAGAGGCAGACGCGCAGGGGTCAGGCAGTCCAGTTGGCAGGGATTTTAAAGAGAGAAAACTGGAGATGCCTGGGTGGCTCAGTCGGTTGAACGTCTGTCTTCATTCGACTCAGGTCATGAACCTAGGGTCCTGGGATCGAGTCCCACATCGGGCTCCTTGCTTAGCCTGGGGGGAGACTGCTTCTCCCTCTGCCTGCTGCTCCGCCTGCTTGTGCTCACCCTCTCTATCTGACAAATAAATAAATAAAATCTTTTCTTTAAGGTTTTGGTTTTTTTAAACAAATAGTTTATTTATTTATTTGAGAGAGAGAGAGCACGAGTGGGGAAGAGAGGGAGAAGTAGGCTCCCCCACCGAGCAAGGAGCCCGACATGGGGCTCGATCCCAGGACCCTGGGATCATGACCCGAGCCGAAGACAGACGCTTAACCGACTGAGCCACACAGGCTCCCCTAAATAAAATCTTCAAAAATGAGAGAGAGAGAGAGCTGGTGGCCCAAAGTGTATATAAGTCCCTGTTCCTATGTGTAGTGGCTCCAGGATGAAAGATGGGGGACAGGGCGCCTGGGTGGCTAAGTCGGTTGAGCATCTATCTGCCTTTGGCTCAGGTCATGATCCCAGGGTCCTGGGATCGAGCCCCATGTCGGGCTCCTTGCTCAGTGGGGGAGCCTGTTTCTTCCTCTGCTGCTCCCCCTACTTGTGCTCTCTATCTCTCTGTCAAATAAATCAATAAAATCTTAAAAAAGAAGACAGGGGACAGATACCCTTCCCTCCATTCCTGCCTCTCCTCATGAGTGCCCTCGTCTAGTTATCTCTAAACAATTCAAGATGTTTCCACCGCTATCCCCAGTTATGGCAAGTCAGAGGGACTGCCTTGAGTACATTGCCTTGGGATTTATCTTCTCTCTTGTGGCGAGTTCAGTCTTGGATTTAGGGGTCCAGCTCTGGGGAAACCAGGGGCGGACACCCTGGGGCCTCTACTCAGAAACAGTGCTGCCTGGCTCCATCTGTTTGTTACCTGCCCTGCTCTGGCTCCCCGCTTGCAGCCGCAGACCCCAGAACGGCCCAAGCCCTGAGTCCTTTTGTGTTCTTTAGTGCAGTCACAGGCTCCAGACCCTGTGTGGCCACAGTCAGGGTTCACAAGCCAATGATCCTGGACCCCGAGGTGCCTTTTCCACCCTTCCACTCTGACACCTGCTCTGCTTTGCTCGTATCTGCACACCAACCTGGAAACGGCCGTTGTGGTGTGGAGACCCTGTCTTCCCACTTCACGTCCAGTTCCTGTTGCTGCTGGCCGCCAGCCGTCACCTGAAACCAGAGCCAGCTTGAGGGGCGGCTCCGCCTTTGCAGAAGCTACCCCGCTGGGGATGAGCAGCGTGTGTGGGGGTTCTGACCGGGGTGCTGATGGACTCAGATGGTCCCGTTGGTCATGTGTTCTGGCTGTCAGCAGAGTGGGGCCTCTTTTAGGAAACAAAGTGGCAGGGATTGGGGGTGGGGAGAGAATCCGGCTTGTGGCTCCTTAGGTTTTATTTCTGTGGTTTCGGGAGGTTGACCTTGTGCCTTTTATCTCCTTAAATCCCCGCTATCTTCACCTTGGTTCCATACATCCTATTTCCTTTCTTTTCTCTGCATCCTTTTGGCCATCATGATCTGATTCCATGACTTCATCGTTTTCATTCATTCAGTAAACACCTGCTGTACACCAGGACCTGGGCGAGGGGCTGGGGACATGGGCCCCCAGCCAGTGGGAGACGAGACACAAAGTCCTGCTGCACACACAGGGTTGTGGAACCCTGCCCCCAGTTCCTTTGTCCAGCTGTGCCGCCAGCCAGTTACACCATCCCAAGCCTCCCATAATAGTGATGATAATAATAGCAATGTGTAGCTGTTGTTTATTGAGCACTTTCTATGTCCGTGTGAGCTCTAGAATGTTGTCCGGATTTCCTCATGTATCTTCCACCTGACTCTAGGAGGTAGATACAACTATTATATTGTACCATTTTACAGATAAAGAAACGGAGATAGAGTGAGATTAAGTCCTTTTTCCAAGGTTATACAAGTAGGAAATAGAGGAACCAAAATTGAAACCCAGAGGCCAGGTTCTGGCACCTCACCCTCAGTCGATGTGCCCCCAGCAGGGCTTGGGTTGGCATATAGCATGATTCACCCTCAGTGCATCCTTTTCCATGACCTTGGGGCAGCCCTGGGAGGCCTGGGCAGGCCTTTGCAGACCTAAGCTTTACAGCCCTGGCGCCAGAGGGCCGCAATCGGGAGGCGGGCAGTTATCGGGAGAAAGGTGTTTCCTTGACTCTCCCAGTGTGACCTCACATCTAATCAGAGGCTGCTGGTCTCTGGCAGGATTAGTCAGCATCTCTAACTAGCAGTGCCGGGAGAAGGAGAGGCTTCCTCTGCCGCCTTCCGGCCTGGGCTCCACCCTCCGCCCGCGGCTGCTGCAGCACTTCGTCCTCCCTATTTTTCGTTGTCTCGGTGCTGGGTGGACTTTGGAGGGGCGATTAGAGCCGAGATTGCAGGCAGCACACGTGTGGCCACAGGGGACAGCAACACTTGACCCCAGCAGGGAAAGTAAGAAAGGTGGACCTCAACAAGTGAAAGCTAATGACTTGGGACTGTCTTATAAAAACTTCTCCAAGGGGTTCAGTGGCACAGTGTCTGGGGTGCTTGATGCTGTGAAAATACCAGGGGGAGGTAGCAGATGGCTTATATGCTTGAGAAGTTTCCAGTACCTAGTAGTGCAGGAGGCCCTCTCACTCCCCTTGGTTGACCGAGGAGGACCCGGGCACTGCAGGGACACCGGCAGCTTGTCCCTCCCGGGTGGTCTAGGATCGAGCCCTGACAGACTGGCTGCTGTCTGTTTCCGTGGACATTGCTGCTGAGAAGGTTTGGGCTGGCCTATGGCCCCACAGCCTAGGCTGGGTCCTGAGGCGTACGCTTCTCCGGTGTAGGTTGCTCTAGAACGGGAATCCCAACCTGGGGCTCAGGCGTGCTTCAAGGGACACAGGAGACCCCTGAAACCGTGGGCAAGCCTTTGTGTGCGTTTTCTGAGGAGGAGGAGCATAGCTTCCTTTATTGGATTCTCCAGAGGGTTTGCGACCTCCACAAAAGATAAAAGCCTCTGCATTATCGCTCCAAGGGGCCAAGTGGACAGCCGAGCCTGCTTGCAGTAGCCAGAGCCAGCCCTGCCATTTCCAGTGGGGTCTGAATGTGCATCTGCCCCTCTGATCTTTGGGAATCCCTGCCTCCACCCTGTGATCAAGTTTCCCTCCCTGTTCACGCACAGAGATTGTCACCAACGGCACAGTGGGGGGCACAGCGGAGCCGCAGCAGGAGCACGAGGAGATAACCTGGATGAATGGCTGGCTCACCTGCAAGGCCCAGGATGAGATGCTAAACTTGGCCTTCACCGTAGGCTCCTTCCTGCTCAGTGCCATCACCCTGCCTCTGGGCATCGTCATGGACAAATATGGCCCAAGGAAGCTCAGGCTACTGGGCAGGTCAGTGCAGGGGTTGGGGGTGGGCAGGTGGCACTCCTGGGCTGAGATCCCCAGTCGGGAATCCTGGTTCCTGCGATCAGGTGCACTGTGGAGCTCCCTAAATGCTCAGAACCCAGAGCGGGGTTCCTGTCCATTCTGCCACCAGCTTAGTAGGACTGTGACCCCTGCCGTGTGTGTGCTGTATAAAACAGGCTCAGGGCCCCAGGCCCGCCTGGGCAGGCTTGCAGCTGCTTGCCGTTAAGAACACTGGTTTCCACAGTCTTTTTGACCTTATACCTCCCTCAGAAAAAAAGGTTTTGAACATGTACCTCCATTATAAGCATGGAATTATCAGTCACATACACATATGCCATTCTTAATGTTCTATGTGCTTTATAACGCATGTACAAAAAAAAGGTCAGTTAAAGTGGCTAAGATTAAAAATGATAAAATAGAAGTGCTGCTGCTTCTGCTACTCCCAGCACTCCAGTGAATCATCCTGCGCACCTCCCGAGGTACGTGTCCCTGGTCTATAAAGCTCCGGTCTGCCACACTCGGAGTCCGTCCACCAAGCAGCTGGTCCTCTCAGGCCACGGTCCTCCCCAAACCAGTCCCCCTGGGAATGATCATCCGCAGGGCAGTGGTTTGCCATGGGTGAGACCCGTGATCATGAAGGGAACGGGTGGAGGATCAGTCTCATTCATTCTTTGGAGCTTAAGAGGCCTTTGTCCTCAGGATGGAGCTAAGCAGAGAGGATTCCAAAGCTGCCACTCATCTCCCTCGTGCCTAGTGGGGTTCTGTCACTCGCCTGGCAGAGAGGGCGTAGGAACCTGGGGAAAGGATCGTGCCCTCTCGCTTCAGAGCCGTGGCCTCTCCAGTCTGAGGATGGGAGGAGACGGTGCAGTGTGGTGTTTACCGGATCTGCCTTTGGGCCTTGAATTCTAGCTTAGACACCTGCTAGCTAGGAGACTTTTGAGAATGTGTGTCTTTTTTTTCTTTGTTTTTTTTATTTTCTTCATCAATAAAATGGAGCCAATTATACTCCTTAGAATTGTTAAATGAGAGAATGTATGTGAATTTTCTGAAGGCCTCTGACCGATAGTAAATACTTCCAAAGAATACTATTAACCAGAACAATAATACTAAATAATATACTATTTCTGCTTGTTTTTAGTGCCTGCTTTGCTGTCTCCTGCTTGCTGATTGCACATGGAGCGAGTAACCCAAACTGTGAGTATGCTTTTCCTCTACCTTTTTGTTAGGGGCTGGGGAGAGAATGCCCAGAGGTGCTCCCAGGCCCACCTGCTCTAGAAAGCCATGCCAGGCCTGATGCTCACTGCTCAAGTTAGAGGGCATGCCTGTTAGCCTTCACCCAGTTACTTGTCTTAAATGGGTGGCTTGGTAAGCCAGCAGTCACTCCAGACCGACGTCTGAGAGAAGCTCCTCGGGTGTATGGTAGTCCCATCCCAGCACCAAGCCAGACCGGTCCCCGATGGCCAAGCTGATGGCTAAGCTGAGATGAGTTCTGAGAACCAGGCCAGCTGAGGGGTCTGTGCTTAAGTTGGGAGCTGAGTCCCCTGAGGCAGCCCAGGCCAGCACTGTAAAGATGGCTTAGAAGCTGGAGCGCCTGGCTGGTGCAATTGGAAGAGCATGCGACCCTTGATCTCGGGTCGTGAGTTCGAGCCCCACGCTGGGCGTGGAGCCTACTTTAAAAAAAAAAGTGGGGGGGCGCCTGGGTGGTTCAGTCGTTAAGCGTCTGCCTTCGGCTCGGGTTGTGATCCTGGGATCAAGCCCCGCATCGGGCTCCCTGCTCAGCAGGGAGCCGGCTTCTCCCTCTCCCTCTGCCTGCTGCTTCCCCTGCTTGTGCGCGCGCTCTCTCTCTCTGTGTCAAATAAATAAATAAAATCTTTAAAAAAATTAAAAAAAAAAAAAAAGGCTTAGAATCCAACTGGTATCCAAGCCTGTTCAGTGGAGCTGTTGCTTCAAGGACTTTCAGAACAAACACCAAAATCTTAGCTGGGCTCATCCACTAATTTTTGAGCACCTGTATTTTTGGTTTCAGTGAAGCAGCTTCTTTAGGCCTCTGGCGTGCTGCTAAGGTTAGTGGACAAAGAGGGGTGGGGATACACTGTTTGCAGGAGCCCAAGCTCTGTAAAATAGGCTAGAGGGGCTTGGTGAGGAAGAGGCTGTCGCAGCTCCCCAGGTGTCCGTCACTAACCCCAGATGGCTTGTCATCCATTCCGCTTGCTCCCTGCGCGGCACTGGGCCAGGCCCTCGCCTCCCTGAAGCTCAGCTGTGGTTCCCCGATTATGAGCTCTCTGTTTCCTTACAGCTCTCTCTGTGCTCATCTTCGTTTCCCTGGCTCTGAATGGCTTTGGTGGGATGTGCATGACTTTCACTTCATTAACAGTAAGTATTGATTTTTTAAAGATCTCTCGTTCAGTCATCACTCTGTGAGTTTGAGGCAGCTTTTGTTGGCTTCAGTTTCCTTGCCTTCCATCTGCCTACCTATGCCTGGACCTCCTAAGCAGGAGAGGGCTGCTGGGGATGAAGTGGCCTGGCAGCAAAGCCAGTCATGGCCTCCTGGGCTGGGGAGGTCCTGTAGGTAGGTGTGAAGGCAGCCAAGCATGGCTCTCAGAGCAGGCCCATCCCTTGCCTGCTGACCTTGCCTTAGGTGCTGAGGAAGCCAGCTCACTAGCTGTGTGCCCAGAGAAGACAGGAGCCAAGAGAAAAAGGCTGCCACCCACGTTCTTTTCTCTCATTTTCTTTTCTTTCTTTCTTTTTTTTTTTTTAAAGATTTTATTTATTTATTTGAGACAGAGAGAATGAGAGACAGAGAGCATGAGAGGGAGGAGGGTCAGAGGGAGAAGCAGACTCCCCGCCGAGCAGGGAGCCCAATGCGGGACTCGATCCCGGGACTCCAGGATCATGACCTGAGCCGAAGGCAGTCGCTTAACCAACTGAGCCACCCAGGCGCCCTCTTTTCTCTCATTTTCCACGGCAGCTCTGGCTAACAGTGCAACCTAAAAACAACCCTCCCTTGGAATCTCCCCACCCCGAACTGTTGCCTTTGTCCAGAATGGAATGAAAAACTCAGGGGCGTACATGGCTGCCTCTCTTCTTGGTTTTCTAAATGCCAGCATACAGAGAGCCACCCTGGGGTGGGAGATGTTTTCTTGGGATGCTTGAGTGCCCCCTTATCTATAGCAGCAGAATACCACAGAACGTGCTTCTTTGTGAGGTGAGAGAGGTTGTTGGAAGAAAGGAAGTCAAAGAAGGCCAAAAATGTCTCCCCTAGGAGGAAGAAGGGAACTCTCTGCAGGCTGGCCCTTCAGAGCTGGCCAGTGGGAAAGAAGTGAGAATACTTCTTCAGAGAGATTTCTGTCTGACAGGAAAGTCTGGCTTGCCTCAGTTTCCCTGTGAGAAGGTTTTTATGACACAGTACCTGCCATCGCCATTTGCAGGGCGCTCCGGTCTCTTCCACTAATGAGTCAGGAGTCCTGCTGTTGAGGGGCTCTTGCTTGGCTTTGAGGGAGCCCTGGGGCTGCTGGTCTTCTCGGAAGGAGCTTGAAGAGGTGCTGGCGTCTGCGTGACCCCCTGCCTGCAGGCTAAGAGCCTGTGGCCAGGGCCAGTGCCTCTTCTTTTCCCCCTTCCTATGCTTTGCCTGGTTAACTTTGTCCCGGTGGGAAGGGGTGACTGTCTGGTGGAAGCCCATGGAAATGGAGAGTTCAGAGAAGTCTGTGTTAGGGGAGAAAGGCACAGCCGGGGCTGTGTATGTGGTATGCTTGGGCTGTAGGTGACACGTAGGTATGGGTGACAACGGGTGTGACTGACACGCACAAATCTGGGAACTCTGGCTGCCTTGTCCTCTGTGATTTGAGGAAGATTGACTTGGTACTCTTTTGTGCATTTTTACTTCTATTTTTTTAACCAGGTAGATTTCTTTTTCTTTTTCTTTTTTTAAAAGATTTTATTTATTTATTTGACAGAGAGAGACATAGCGAGAGAGGGAACACAAGCAGGGGGAGTGGGAGAGGGAGAAGCAGGCTTCTCACGGAGCAGGGAGCCTGATGCGGGGCTCGATCCCAGGACCCTGGGATCATGACCTGAGCCGAAGGCAGACGCTTAATGACTGAGCCACCCAGGCGCCCCTAGATTTCTTTTTTAAACAGCTGTATCTCCCTCCCTCTCAAATTCCCAGGGGAAAACAGATGTCGAAACTGTAAGAAATATTTTAGAACTATCCAAAGTACACAAATCCCACTAAGTTGTGTAAATTTTGTGAAACAAAAGTCATGGTTCTGTTTGTTCTTTGACAGCGTGAAAATGCTTTCATCAAAATGAAAATTAAAAACCTGGCATCATCCCCATTATTTTAGTCATGCTGTGCCTATGTTGTGGTAGTTCTGAATTTTGGGATAAAAAAGAGATGGGTCTTGAATGTCAGGAGTTTATGCTCTGAGATGCAGAAGGATGCTTTATTGTAATAAAGCACAAGACAAATGGGTAAAAACCACCACACCATGAACCACCTTAAAGAAAGCCTTTGGGTGTGGGGGGCACCTGGGTGGCTCAGTCTGTTGAGCGTCCAACTCTTGATTTTGGCTCAGGTCATGATCTCATGGTCCTGGGATCCTGGGATCGAGCCCCATGTCGGGTCTCCACACTCAGCCTAGAGTCTGTCTGTCTTCCTCTCTCTCTGCCCCTCCCCCCGCTCGCTTGTGACTCTTGATCTCCTGGTTGAGTTCAAGCCCCACGTTGGGTATAGAGACTACTTTAAAAAAAAAAAAGAGAGAAAAGAAAGAAAGCCTTTAAAATGAGCTTATAGTTGTTATCAAGGAACATTTAGGGGAGGCTAGCAGGCCTATGAGGATTTGTTTTCTGGATTTTTTTTTATGATTATAAACAAACATGTTTTTATTTTAAGAAGTCAATATTTTAGGAATATAAAGTATAGACTGTAAAATTCTATAAGCACACCTTCATCAGTTTAGAATATATCTCTTCAGTATTAAAAAAAATCTGCATATACCAATGTTATTCTTTTTTGAAAAAAGGCTGTTACAGCTTGCCTTTTTCACTTACTTCTTTCACATGTTTTTCTGCCGGTACTTAGAAATCTACCTTATTATTTTAAACTCTAGAGCTCTACCCCATTATGAAACAGTTTTATGTTATTCTATAATATAGATGTACCATAATTTATTTAACGAGTTTCCTCCTCATGGACACTTGGGTTGGTTTCCAGTCTTTCTGATTTATGATGATGCTAGAGGGAACACACCCCTGTATATACCTTTCTGTAAAATAAATTCCTGGAAGTGGGATTGCTGGCCTTCCCCATAGGTTCCATCCTGATACTATTGTACCAGCATGGATGAGAGTGGCCCTTTCTCCACACCCCTTCCCCAGACCCTGTTATTAGTCTTTTAAATATTACCCAATCTGGTGAAAATGATATACCATGAT